TGATGTTTACGAACACCAAAAAACTACTTTCTATAACTTCAACTAATTCATCTACTTAAAGCTTTTCTAAACAGATTTTGAATGTGCTAAAATTATTTTTAGCTAAAAAATAGATTTGAAAGCAGTATATGTTCATATGCTCTCTTTTGTCCTTACTGTTAATTCATGGTCAAGTAGTTCAGATACTCGTAGGTAATTCGTATCCACAGCTCTGTCAAGAGTGGACAAAGTGTGATTGGCTCATTGCTCAAACCAAAAAAAAATCTAAACATGAAAAGGGAGAACGACTGATTTCATTATGTTGAATTTATAGCCAATAGAATTTTCTATAAATTTTAACCTCGATATGTTTCTTTGGTAACTGATCTTCTTCTGATTGCATTCGATTAAGGGATTTGATATAACTTTGAGGGCGGAATTGAGGCTCTTCAGAATTTAACTTAAAAAAACCAAAAAACTCAGAAAGTCTGGAGTTGAAATGGAAAAAAAAACAAAACTTTATCCGATTGCGCAGTAACAAAATTTGCTTTACTTCAAAAAAATGGTTAATTGTCCAGATGATGACCATAGAAACTTAGGGCTGTTCTGATAGCATTTAAGTTTTTATGGCCGAGTGATTAAGATGCCTCTTAGCTACCAAAAATGAGCAAAACATATCTTTTTAAAATACTTTACAGTTCCTTCTGCAGATGAGTACGAGAATAGCAGCGGCGTAATAAGGGAGCGCTAGATCAGGAACCCTTTAAATTAGGGATAGTAAACTTCTCAAATTTTTCGATAATTAAGAATTACGAAAGCAACTAATATGACATAAGGAAGTAAATTAACTACTTCAATGTTCATTTTCACATCTGCTAATTCTGTATGGTCATTTAATCAACAAAAATAAACAAAAAGTTTGCCAATGTCTTTGTAAAATTAACAACTCGATAGAAGGCTCCTAAGTACTAATGTTTTTCCTTTTATTCTCAGAAATTCCTGATCTACGTATATGTGTCAAGCTATATTTCAGATAAACTAAGAAGCCACTTGCTCTGTATCACATGAAGACTTGTATTTCCGTTGTTTTCCTCGCTACAACTGTAGCTTTGCCGTTGGAGGTAAGCTGTCACAGGAACCTAATCTCAAAAAATTAGGAAAACGTTTTTCTTTGTAAGGAAACATGATGTGTAAAGATGTTATTGTCACAGTTGGTTTCTTGTACATGTACCTGTTCTCTTCCATCAAGTGATAATTCGGGGTATACTTTTGAAGAATTAATTAGCTCGCTTTTGCAATTTTACATAGATATAATGCGCACGAGAAATCTATGAAACTACATTGGTGCTCTGTTTTTTTTTTCAGATTTCAAATGATGACAGTATTCGCGACCTCTATGTCGGCGTGGAACCATTTAGTGGTCAAGTTCTTCCTGAAGAATTTTATCTCCAAAGCAGCGATTCTCAAGTAGATGAACTAGAGCTGAAAGATGGAAATCATGGCGACGATTATGCTATAATAGAGTTTGTTCAAGTTCCATACTTTTCAGAGGAAGAGTTGCAGCAAGAAAGTGATCAGCAACAAAAGAGCATCCTTTCACTTATTGACGAAGGTGCATTAAGCAGCGATTATGGTGTTATAGCGCAGCAAGAACACGAAATCCTGTGGAAAGATGAGGATATGGGACAAGAAAGCCGAGACTTGAATCTATCTTCTCTTCCTGGTCTACTGATCTTCTAGAATAATTCTGCAATGTGGATTAGTATTACTGTAAATCTTGCTTCCATAATACTCTAGAAATGTCCATCTTCCTTTTTTGGCAAATAAATTTCTTCAAGTTCCGCGTAGTAATTTGAAAGATTTTCATACATTTATACCATAAAGTATGTACATCTCGACTTATAGCTCAGTGGCAGCAAAAATCCCTCCATTTTTGTTCTTCTTGCATAAACAAACATATTTTATAGAGGCTTGAAAAGACTAACAAGAAGGACTTCGAC